GTGGCCAAAGAAAAAAAAAGAGAAACACTGTTTACCATAGATGGTTGGGCATGGTTAACAGTAGTGTATTTATGAAGAAAAATATCCTCATTTTTTTCTTAAAGTTACGTAACATTCTAGTGTAAAATGTCTGTAATTTAACTCTAAAATATTTCTGAAAATAAATGAGACAGCAAAAATGCTGTTAAATCTTGTTAAAAGGATACCCACAGGAAATTGTACACAATTAACTAAAACGGGTCAAAAGAGCACAGTAAGAAAACACAGGAATATACAAATAGAATTCTAAAGTGAAGAGGTATGTTATCTGGCTTTCATTTTCCCCCCAATGGAAAAACTAGCTAAATAATTACTTGTGTGTGTGTGTGTGTGTGTGTGTGTGTGTGTGTGTGTGTGTGAGTCACTCAGTCATGTCTGACTTTTTGCAACCTCATGGACTGTAGCCTGCCAGGCTCCTCTGTTCTTGGGATTCTCCAGGCAAAAACTGGAGTGGGGAATCATTTCCTTCTCCAGGGAATCTTCCAGACCCTTTGTTCCCCCCTTAAAGCTGGTTCCCAATCAACTCCTGTTGATTTAAAAAAATATCCCTGCCTGGTCACAACAAAAGGCAATTAATTTCTCAGACTTATATGTCTCATTCATTCAACATCTGTTTAAGCTGTAGCTATTATTACTGCCTGATACTTCTCTAAGTACTTTGCCCACAAAGGTTCACACAGTCAAAGCTATGGTTCTTCCAGTAGTCATATACAGACGTGAGAGGTGGAACAACTGATGCTGAAGCTCCAATACTTAGCCACCTGATACAAAGAGCCGACTCACTGGAAAAGTCCCTGATGCTGGGAAAGATTGAGGGCAGGAGAAGAGGGTGTCACAGGATGAGATGGCTGGATGGCATCACTGATGCAATGGACGTGAACTTGGTCAAACTTAAAGAAATGGTGAAGGAGAGGGAGGCCTGGTGTGCTGCAGTCCATGAGGTCACAAAGAGTCAGATATGACTTAGTGACTGAACACATACACAAACACACACACACACACACACACACACTTCTCTAAGTGGCAGCTCTAACAGGACAAAACACCTCACTGAAATTAATTCTAATGGGGGACGTTCTCTGGTGGTCCAGGTTGGGAACCGCCTGCCAATGCAGGGGACGCAGGTTCAATCCCTGGTCTGGGAAGATTCCACATGCCATGAGGCAACTAAGCCCATGTGCCACAACCACTGAAGCCCATGGTCTGCAACAGGAGAAGCCACTGCAACAAAAAGCCCTTGCACCACAATTAAGGAGCAGCCCCCACTAGCCACAACCAGAGAGAAGTCCACGCACAGCAACGAAGACCCAGCACAGCCAAACATTAAATAGATAGACTATTAAAAGAAAAATGCGAAAAGACAAACATTAAGCATAAAAGAATAAATAAAACTTACTGAGAATTGCTGGATAAAATGTATATATTACCTTTAGAAAATAAGGATATTAGCTGACAGTGAAAAAGTATTATGCTTCTAATGAAGTACATGTTAAAAACTTTACATAATTTTCAAAACTATATGTTGAAGTCTTACTTAGTTTTGAAAATACCATCACATACATCATCTTATCCAAACCTTACATTCTATGAGATATAAGCAAGTATTCATATTCTTGTTTCACAAACTAAAAAGTTCAAGTCTGAAAGAGATGGTTAGTTTTTTAAAAGGAAACCTGGATCTACAACTTTAGACCTTTAAACTCACTCTAGAGTTCTGTTCATTGCAATATAATCTCTCCAGGCAAAAGACACTAATTAAAAACCTTATAATTAAAAAAAACCCTTATAATAAATTAAATTTCTTAAAAATCTCATAAAAAGTCCCAAATCAACCTCACGTTATAGTAAATTCAAAAGTTTACTATTCAAAGTATGATCCTTGGGCCATCAACATAACCTGAGAATTTCTTTAAAAATGCACAATCATAAACCTACCCACAACTACTGAATCAGAATCTACAGTTTACCACAATCTCCAGGTGATCTACATGAACAATAAAATTTAACAACGATCGGGAACAGTTTAAAAGAACTTTTCACAATGATAAAAATGTTTTATATCTCCACTATGTGGCTATCATATTGGACAGACCAAGAACATTTCAAACTAGAATTCTGCCTAAATATAATTTCTTACCCACCAAATAAAATAAGCCTGTTACCATAACATGTACTCTTCCACTAAATTCTGTCAGCAATACATACAGACCAAGACCATTTTTTCTTAAACGTAACTCAAAATGTATAGCTTCCTAGAGACATTTGGACTAAGACCTATGTTATTACAGAGTAAGTCATACATTATTACTGGCTGCATTATATAATTACATTTATAAAAGACTCATTTAATAATCTTCCAATAATTTTAATATGGGCTTTCAAAGAAGAAATGTTCCATTATCTTTAAATTCTGCTTACATAAAATGCTGAGATCTCTGAATAAGCCAGGTAAGTGAAATATTATTGTAAAAACTACCAACTACAAGGATAAAGTTAGATTCCCTATTAAATTATAAGAACTAGGTGGAATTTCCTGTTTTAGAAAATGGATGGGACATTTGAATGAATGAATAGCAATAATCAATGAACAATTCAAGACCTTCAGTGATTTTAAAGTATTTCAGAACAAAATTTGTGGCAGGTTGGTTGGTTAGTTTCCTATTGTTCTTATCACTTGGGAATAGAATAACCTTTGATGGAAGAAAATTTTTTGAGATTTCACTGGCTACCCCTAAAACCCACTCCACATGAAAGTGAAGTGAAAGTCGTTCAGTCATGTCCCATTCTTTGCCACCCCATGGACTATACAGCACATGGAATTCTCCAGGCCAGAGTATTGGAGTGTTTAGTCTTTCCCTTCTCCAGTGGCTCTTCCCAAACCAGGAATCGAACAGGGGTCTCCTACATGGCAGGCGGATTCTTTACCAACTGAGCAATCAGGGAAGCTCTAAAATCCACCTAATAATTTGTAATCCAACATTGGACTCTGAATTCCACCCACAAAAAGGAATCATTTATCATACATGGCGTGGCATAAGGTATAATCTACCAGAAGGAGGAAAAAAGGAAGTACTGCCCATATCCTTTCCCAATGAACTCTAAAAGGAAATGTTAACACTCCCAACTATAGGAAGATGTTAGGATTAGGAAGATCTAATTCTTACCAATGAAGGAAGAAATGAGAAAGAGGATATGAACTGGGACTGAGACTAAGACCATGATGATGAGATGCAGCATAAAACAAGCAAAGCCAGTCTGACATTTAGTTTCCAAAGGGTTAATAAAGGTTAATTTGTTAATAAATTAATAAAGGTTATTATTTAACAAAAGGTTATTTATTAATAAATTAATAAAGGTTAAGGATAGGCCATCCGGCAACAATGAACAGTAAGAGACTGAGAATTAAAGGTAGCCAAAGATGAAATTTAGCATCAAGATCTTTTAAGTTTGTTTTTCTTATCTATTTACCCATCAAACCTGAAGATAACTAAAAATTTTCTATTATACTTTTCTATAAACTATGAGGGACATTCTAAAGTATGGTATTTATACAAGGACTCTCAAAAAACTAGGGAAATACCTTTCACAAATATCAAAGGTGTACTGTGTATCACTATACAGTATTTGCAGTATAATTAAAGCCTGGTGGATGTTTTATATTTCAACGTGATCTTTGCCAGGATCAGGACATCCAACTCCCTAGAAGAACAGTTTCTTCTCATGAAAAGAAAAAGTTTTTAAGAGGTTTTAATACACAGAAGAGAAATTCAAATCCCTCAAGATTTTAATAAAAATAACCTAAGAGGTAAGAGTTTAATGTGGATAGGAGACAGAGCCCAAAGAACTGGATAGACAGTTTAAAAAACAAAAGAGAAAAACTATATCCTCATCACGTATGTTCTAGCTGATTTGCAATTTTCATCATAACTTTTTTTTGGTCGTGCTGCACAACTTGCAGGATCTTAGTTTCCTGACAGGGATTGAATCTGAGCCCTCAGCAGTGAAAGCACAGAGTCCTAACCACTGGACCACCAGGGAATTTCCCGTCATAAATCATAACTTTAAATAGTTTCTCCAATACTAAGAAGAGTTATTTCATTCTTTTAAAAGTATCTAATGAAATTTAAATACCATAAACATATGATACTAATCCCACCTCCCCAAAAATTCCCCCCCACATATAAACAACTCGTTAACTGTGAAAATGTACATATCTTTTTATTTAACCATGTAATTACATTCCACCTAATTATATAATACTATATTACTTGAAAATAAAGACAAAAAACTCTTTCAAAATGTTTTCAAATCAGCCCTTTGACAATTCACAATTATTCTTGATAAAACCCAACACCAGACAGACTAGACATCAAAAAATCTTTCTGAACATATTTTAGTGAAATCCCAACTGCTCAGAAAAAGTGACTCATTATTAGTTATCCACACAAGAAAACTCTCTCACTGTCAAACCACATGGTTTACATTTAGTAAAATGTATGTGTTCATTAAGTTGCTTCAGTCGTGTCCGACTCTTTGCGACCCTACGGACTGTAGTCAGCCAGGCTCCTCTGTCCAAGGGATTCTCCAGGCAAGAATACTGGAGTGGGTTGCTATGCTCTCCTGCAGGGGATCTTCCCAACCCAGGAACTAAACCAGACTCTCTTACATCTACTGCGTTGGCAGGCAGGTTCTTTACCATGAGCGGCACCTAGGAATCCCAATAAAATGTCATTCACAAACCTGTTAAAGTTTCCCAGCTTGGGGAAATATATATAACCTGTGTGTACAATTCAGGTTGCTTTTAAAACCCTTTTAAAACCCTCTGGCCTGGGACTTCCCTTGTGGTCAAGCAGTTAGGATACCGAGCTTTCACTGGAGAGGGCATGGATTCAATCCCTGATCAGGGAACTAATACCCTCCATGCCACACGGCCAAATAAATATTTTTAAAATAAAAAATAATTTTTTTTTAAGTTTCAACAAATGTATTTTAAATACAACATGTTTTGCAGGAGTCCACAAGCTTTTCATTTCTAAAAAAAAAAAAATGATGTAATTTTTAGGGTTCAAAAATTCTGTTCTTCAAAAGAAATGACCAAGTAAGCGTTTTTTCTATAGCTTCAAACTTTCTACACTCAACTATTTGACTGTTCCATGCCACCCCAGACAAACTTGACCTGACTGAACTACTACTAACTTCCCCAAAAGAAAGTTAAAAAAGGAGTTTGTAGTAAATGCAGACCTCTAATACAATGTCTAATACAATATCTAACACAAAAGAAGCTTTAAAAAGATCATTTCTTTCCTCATTTTGATAAGATAGGAGTGAATTTCCCATAAAAGCAAAAAACAAACAAAAAAATCATTTACAAAGCATAACACTGGGGGTTCCTTTTTTACTCAAGATGTTTAACTACTCAAAAATGACAATTACATCTTTAAGAATATAATAAAAGGGGTGGAAAATAGCAATACAATTGACAAAGTGTAGATGCTAAACAAACCAAAGATTTTTTTAAGGGTTCTTTTTGAGGAGTAGGAAGGATTAGAAGCTTGGGGAAATCCAGAATTTAAAAAAAGAGAAAAAGATGTCCTCAACTGCAACCGCTCTGCTTATTAATAGCGTCTTGGGCTGTAGGATCGAGATCTTGATCGTGATCTGTATCGACTGTAGTAAGGAGAAGGTGATCTTCTTCTGTACCGGTAATCATAGTCTTCATATCTGTCGTACCCACAATCGTATCCTCGATCATAGTAAGAGTCTCGACGTCTGCCGCCTCCTCCACCGCCACCCCCGCCGCCCCCGCTGCCGCCGCCACCGCCGCCACTCTGAGTTGGTCTGCCCATGTATATGCCTGGTGTTGGTGTGTGTGCTCTCTTGGTGATAGAATAATCCACCCGAATTCTTCTACCATCCAGTTCCATTCCATTTGCCCTTTCCATAGCCTCCTTTGAGTCATCTATTCTCTCGAAATAAACAAAAGCAAATCCCTGTGACCGTCCAGTTCGCTGGTCATAAACCACATTGACACCACTCAACGGTCCATATCGAGAAAATACTTCGCGAAGATCTCTCTCTGTTGTGTACAAACTGAGGCCAAACACTCCTAGACAAGTACTGGGACCAGGATTTGCCCTGCTGCCTGTAAGTCTTCTCCGGTTAGACACTGGAGAATGACTTCGGCTCCTTCGACGCCGGTATTCTGGTGTGTATGACCTACTTCGAGATCGCCTCCTATGAGAGTGAGAATGGGATCTGGATGGAGTGTAACGTCTATGAGAATGCCTCCTTGACCTTGACCTGGATTTTGATCTTGATCGAGAATGGGATTCAGAGTGTTTGGAAACCCTTGATGGACTACGAGATCCTGACCTGCTCTCCGATTTTACACGAGCAGGAGTTCCCGTTGGAGATTTTGACTGAGAGCGAGACTCTCTGCCCTCGAAGTTGTTCTCCTCTACATCACTCATGTCGGCCAGGCGCTCCCCAGAACTAAATAAGAGACAAGTCTCGGCTTGAGGGCCGATGGCCTAATCAACCCGCTGACTGGACCGTGGGGAGGAGGAAAGAGTCGGCAACAAGGGCGGCTCTACTCCACTCCCACTCGGTCGCAGGCTCCGGCCAAATAAAAAATAATTTTTAAAAAACCCTCTGGTTCTCAAAACTCCAAATACAATACGAGCACAACTCCTGAGAAGCTGGCCTTTCTCATCAAGCAAATATTGGTACTAAATGTCAGATTAAATGCCACACGACACATAAACTTTAGTACTTATTAAAATAACATGCAAATAAAATAAAATAAAATAACATGACTAGCAGAAGAGGATTTCCTAAATATGATACAAAAAGCATAAAAGTCTGGAAAGTTCATTCAGTTCATTAAAACCATGAACTTTTCTCATCAGAAGACTATGAAGAGATGGTAAGACAAGTTATAAACTGGGAGAGAATATTTGCAAACCATAAATTAACAAATAATTAGTGTACAAAATACATGAAGAACTCTCAATCAATCAGAAAAAAAAGAAGACTCAAAAATAGGCAGAGAACTTGAACATACGTATCACAAAGATACAAATGGCTAATGGACATACAAAAAAGATGCTCAACTTCAGGAAACACTAATAAAACACAATTAATACTCTTTCAAACCCAAAAGATTAGAAAAAAAATTTAAAAGTCTGACAATATCAAGTGCTGGGGAGGAAGTGAAGCAACCAGAACACACACTGCTGGCTCTTGACTCAGTAAACCACAAGATTCACAAATACCATAAACCAACTCAGTGACTCAAACACTGGAAGTGTTTAGTAAGCATTAAGCAACTGACAATGACCAATCCAAAATTCTGAAAACACAAGTGGATTACTGCCAAATACAAATTTTGGCCCTTGATGAACCAGGTCTAACCTGACTCAGCAATTACGATTATAAAAAACCTTTAGTCCTTTATCCAGTTTATACAGTTCATTTTGTTAAGTACAAAATATTCAGGTATTTATTTCCTCCTAGAACTGATGACATCTTAAGTGACTAAAGCTGTAATTATTCCAGTTACGCTATTTCAATGAGAACAACTAGTTTCAAATGGCATTACTTTTAAAACTCACGCTTATAGTTTAAATTTACTTCACAGGAATTAGAGTGACCCTGTGACCATGTGAGAGGGGCAAAACGATGTAACAGATAGAGTAAGGGCACTGAAATTGGACGAATTTAGAGCAGTAACCTTGGTTTAAGTTACTCAACTTTTCTGATCCTTAGCTTACTCAATATCTAAAAAGCAAGCCTATCTTTGCCTACCCAAACAAATCCTATGAATAAAAGTGAGATGATGTAAAGTGTTTATGAGGCCTAGCTCATTTAATACAGACCCAAGGTTAGCCCCATTCCCTTTGTAAATCTAGCTCTCATCTAAAATTTTTGAAATCCGAAATGTTAACTCTCAATTCATAGGAAAATAATATTCTTACATTCAAATTATTTTCAAATATTACAAGACATTGTGTGCTATGAAAAGCAACACCCTGATTACATCTTTCTCTACTGAAAGGCTCTTTTCCTGTAAGAAGTTAGATCCTGGAAAAGAGGACAGATTTTCAGTTATCTTCATGACACTGAAGTAGGGATTCTCATGCTATGTGGGAAACTAAATCCAATTGATTTCCAAGCTCCAATTCAAGGTTTTCTTGATTCTAAGAAGCTTATTTAATACTTAATGGTGGAGGCTGCTGTTTAGTCACTAAGCTGTGTCCGATCCTTTTGCAACCTCCTGGACTAGCTCTTTAGGCTCCTCTGTCCACAGGATTTCCCAGGCAAGAATACTGGAGTGGGTTGCTGTCTTCTTCTCCAGGGGATCTACCCCACCCAGGGATCAAACTGGAGCCTCCTGCACTGGCAGTCAGATTCTTAACCAATGGACCACCAGGGAAGCCCTAATACTTACAGGACTGCATGCTAACTTTTGCATTTCTTGAGAAAGGCTATCTGAAGAAAACTACCTGTAACGATGACCTGATAGTCACTTGTTTTTTGCTTTGGTTAGTCTGCGGGAAAAGTGGTTATGCTTAAAATAATCTACATATGGAAAAAACCTCAAACATTCAACAATATAATTAAATAACAGGAAAAATGTATAATACTGACAACCACACTCTACAGTAATGAAGATACATTTATAATGCTGAAAAAATTCAGAGAAATTTGAATTAAACTTCAGGAATCCTCCTTTTAAATACCTTACCACAGTTGAGATAGGAAAGAAAAGTCGCACAAGATAAAGTGATATTTGCCAAGAAATGGGAACTAACAACTACTGATGAGAATGCATCACAGACATAATTACAATCATATCAGGATACTGTCTTCTTCAAAAGAAAAAGAAAAGCTTTCAGATATACAAAAAATATGTCATGATAAAAAAAAAGTATGTCATGATGAAATATTGAGCCAAATACTACACAAAGGAAAAATTCAGGAAGTTCTTATATTTACATAATTTTCTTCCTTAAGTCTTCATTTCCAAAAAACATTATTTCTTCCAATGAAGCTGTACAGTGATACAGTCTCACTAGAGAAACATTAATTTTCCCATTTCCATAATTATAATGACTTATTAACGCAATACAAAGTAGACAGTAATAAACAATGAATAAGTCACAGAATGAACAGGATGGATTAGAAACAGAACTTTAATTTATAAAAACCTACTATAAAAACACACCAAAAAAATCCTACTTTATAAAGTAGGTTAATGTAGACAAAGGAATTCTTTTAGACCTTGGACATTTTACATTCTTTGCTACAAAATAATACAGAAACTTTCAGTTTAACTTTCAGTTTGGGACACTTACAAGAAAGAACTGGCTCTATCACTAAAGACTAAGTGCCCTGTTTTTCTTATCATCAAATCTGGCAAAATTCTAAAGAAAAATATCCATCGTATCTACCCAAATTCTAAAATACTAATAACTAGAACTGAGCAAAGAAGCCCTATTAAGTGGAGTTAGAACAAAAACTACTTAACAGATAACTACCAAATCTGTTTTTGCAACACTCCATGGAGTCTAAAAACTCTCAAAAATTTATCTCACTTTAATATAAAATGTATTTTTATGGCCAGGCACACTTTAAACAAGAACATGTGGCGACAACACAAAGGTCAGAGGTAACTATTAGAGATCAAATAAATGAACTATAACTTCATGTTTCACAAGAAAGATTAGGAACTGTTTCTGACCCCCAGGTGGACTGGACAGATAAGTCTCTACCCAAGAAACAAACAAAAGCAGCAAGACTAACATACCTGGAGAAGGCCAGGCAATGTCGAATATATCCCCAAAGATCACTTGCCCCGAGTCTGGTCTCCTCCCTTTCCCCCTAATCTCATCGCCTCAGAGAAAACTAAATCTGTATCTCAGGTCCGCAGCTCACCCTCAACTCCCCATCACTCACCTTTACTAAAACCTACGTCCCTCTCTCCCCGACATCCTCTGTTTCCCACCCAGCTCTCCTTCCAGACAGTTACGTACTGCGCCTATTTTCCAGCAGAACATTAGTCCCCTTAATCCGAACTCACTTATTTTTCCGCATGCCATCTGCCCTCCGCCCCTTCAATGCCGGTCCCCTCACCCCGTCCCTTCTCCCAGAATCCTTCCCAAGTTACCCATCTCTGGCCCCCTGGCCCTCACACCCCCTGCGCTGCAGCACCCCCATTCCACTCAGTCTCCAGCTTCCTCCCCGTCCCTCCCCCAGCCGTCTCCCGGTACCGGCTCCCTCTCCCAACTCCGCCCCTCTCCTCCCTCCCCCAGCGAGGCCCCCTCACCTGAATGCTGCAGCCGCCGTGCCAGAAGCCGAAAGGTGCTGCCGCCGACCGGCCTCCCTGGCTCGGTCCCTGCTGAGCTCCTGACGGCCCCTAGGGAGAGCGAACACTACCACCTCCAACTCTGCCCGCCCCGGGCCAGACCGTCACCGTAGTCACCGCCAGTACCACAGCCGCCATGTTGAAGTCCCACTTCCCTCCTCCTTCCCCTCACCGCTCCTCCCCTTTGGGCGTCTGACGTCATGGCGCCGCGCCCCACCCCTCGAGCCAATGGGAGGAGTCATGGTGACGTAGCTAATTTCCCCTAGGAGCAGACATCTGCTCGTATCTGCAGGGTTGCAATTGGAACGAGTGAACCCGGCTGACTGGAGGGTTGGAGGAAAGCTGCGGGGGTCACCAAGAGGGTAATGCGTAGGGGTTGGAAGAGCCTCCCAGGAGGAAGCCCGCGATTCCTGAATCTCAAAGAGAAGCGCAAAGGCTTTCCAAGGGGACCTACTTAGAAATCAGAATGTCTGGCTTCAGGTCCTGAGTCATGGACTTTCTGGGCCTCACTTTCCCCATTTATAGATTGTAAGGGATCAGGATCCAATAAGGCCTTTTCAGAACAGACCTCCACCCATGTCCTCCTCCTGCCTTTTGTCTGTAGAAGAATTTAGTCAAGGAATAAATTTAATCAGACAAGTGGAAAAAATACAGAAAGAAAGGAAAACAGTTAAGCATTACAAAGCAATACTTTAGCCATTAAACGAAGTTGAGGACCTTTAGTTCTTCCTCAAGGACTACAGAAAATATTCTGAGCTGTGTCATTTAAGCTGTCTTGCAGATACTGAAGCCCCAACCCCCGCCCCTCGACCCGCACCACCACCACGAGTGGAAGAAGTTAATTATAGGCAAGCAAGAAGGAAATGGCAACCCACTCCACTACTCTTGCCTGGAAAATCCCATGGACAGAGGAGCCTGGCAGGCCATGGTCCATGGGGTCGCAGAGAGTCAGATGCAGCTGAAGCGTCTAAGCACACATGCAAGCACATAGAGCCCAAACAAGTTGAAATCAAAAGGTTTTGATTACCTCACCACCATCCAATCATAAGAATGCCCACAAGCTGACCACACCCTGCTTCTTGAACACTATAAAACTCCTTACTATCCCCACCAGGGTGGGACACACAATCTTGAGGGCATAAGCCCACTGTGCCCCTTTTGCCTGGCAAAGCAATAAAGCTGTTATTTTCTACTTCACCCAGAACTCTGTCTCTGTGTTTCTGTTAGGCATTAGTGAAGAGAGGCCAAATTTCAGCAACAAAATGAATGGGTTGAAAGGTGACCTCTAATAAATCTCCCTCCAATTCTGACATTCAATGGGTTTAAACCAGGTAATCCAATCCCAAACCTTTATTTCCTTCTGTTTCCTAGAATCAGGTGCCTGGATGTTCACAACTAAATGAGATAAATCTATGTTCCAA